CCCTTGACATCTTCGGAGTTGATGCAGAGCCTGTCCTTGGCCTTACAACTGGAATCGGCTCCACTGCCGGATCTGAGCCTGTTCTTGTTTTTTGCCTTCTAGTCTCCGTTTTGACAGTTTCACTGCACTTCACACCATTGAAAATAAATAGTCATATTCAAGTTAAATGGTGTTATCTAGCACAGTCACTTAGTTTCGCTTCTCAAAAATACACAGAAGGTTGTTTAAAAAGCAATTAAAAACTGAAGTCCTCCTCAAAATGTCGGGCGCAACTTCTCAATGGTTTTTGGGGATAGAGTAGGTCAGTTTCCACTTCCGTCTTAGCTGTCTATGCGCATCTACTCACATCCGGTACCGCGCTTCAATGGATCCGATCGCCTTCCTGTTGTTAGCAGCCTCTTCTAGGAGTTCTACTTCCTCTTTGTCTCGATCGGAACCCTTTCTCTGCAACACCAACCTTCCTCTTCCCGCGATAGACTTCGTCAGTTTCGGTTTTCGGCTGCGCACATATCTCTTCTCCCACCACAGGAATGTTCAACAATAATGGTTTTCTCGCTTTAAAAGCCTTCAATCAATTCACATCTTCTCCGGAATCGAATCACTGGGGTTATCAAATGACTATCCGCTCAACCGCTCATTTCAAATTAGTTCACAACCTGATTCAGGTAAGCGGTACGGTTTTGTTATCTAGCACGATCAAATCGGGTTACGCATTGCTTCTTTTCACTCACATGTAGTTTCCCTTCTTCAAGAAGTCGGCTGACGACGAATTTATGCCGGATACCCGGCTCGAACGGCCCCTGGAGAGTTGCTCGGCAATTGCCCTCTTCGTGGGAGGAGATCAAAGCTCGATTCAGCTTCTTCCGAAGCTCGATCTTGCCAATCTCACACTCCCTCTTGGGCGCTGCTGCCTGCTTGTCCCCCCCCCTCTCTGGGGAGCGATGCGTTGGGCTAGAAACTGCCCAAACTGTCAAAAGAGGCCGTCGTCCGCTCCGCTCGATTGCGGAATGCGTTAATGCGCCATCTTAGCTCGACCGGAAGCCCCAGTATCTGGAAACCGTTGCTTCTCAAACTAGGGGCGCGAATCTGAGAATCAACCCGCGCGAGCGGGAACCAAGTCCATTGGTTAATGTCGGTTTGAATTTGCTTTACTATCCCCTGCTCTGACCTTCCCCAGTTATTCTAAACAGTGAACGTGTTCCTGTTCCATCATGGCTTCAATAAAATACTACTTTGCTACAAACGTGTATTAATTGCAAGTTGTGGGGATCGGACATACATGAAGTTGAAGAATAGACTAGTCAAAAATAAAGTGATACTGGGACAAACCTATACATAGGGAAATTCTTGTTTTCAAGCAAAACCAGATCCAACACAGTAGCTATAACCAATGAAAAAACTGAATATTTGAAAGTACGAGCATAATTACTTTTGTTTAGGGCTGCCAGATCCCCCAGGGGGGGATTTGCCTGCTCTAGCGGCCCCCAACCCACCGGCCCAGATCTGGTCGGCTGGGGGAACCCCACCCCCAAAGTTCCTGGATTGGGCTGACATGCCCGGCGCAATGACATCACCCAGAGGTGATGTCATCGAGCTGGGCACATTGTCAGGGGATGCTCTAACATTCAGCCTGAAAACTCTATCATAGAGTTTTCTCTATCATAGAGTTTTCAGGACAAATGCTACAGCGTCACCTGCAATGTTCCCTCTAAGCTGTGGAGTCTTGTGAGCAAAAATCCTACTTTGTGAGCTACTGGCATTAAAGTTGTGAGCGAGTAATTCGGCTACTGCATAAATTAGTTTGCTCTGGAGCCATCCTTCCTGAGCTAAGACAAAAATGTGTGAGCCGGAGGGTAAAAAAACTGTGAGCTAGCTCACACTAACTCAGCTTAGAGGGAACACTGGTCACCTGGTGATGTGATTACACTGTTGGAGGCCTCATTTGTTCTTTTATTCTGTGCCTAGTGGTCTCATTTTGGAAGTAAGTCAATAGTATATATTTATTTGGTAGTATATATTTACAATTCATTTATCCGTTGTATTGTATGTATTTAATTTCCCATTTCTTTTTATCTTTTACAGCAACTTTTTTCTGGTCCCTATTGATTTTATATCTTGTATCTGCATGATTGTATTGTATTTGTATATCAGCCAATATGTTCCTCAGTATATTTGACCTCTGAAGAAGGCCTATGCCGGCCGAAACGTGTCAGGTCAAATCTATCAGCCCTTGTGTGTTATAATTTGTTATTGTACATGAGGTGTAATTATATAATTTTAAAATCTTTGTTTAATAAATACATGTATCTTTTTATATATTTCATATATTAAGCTTTTATTGTTGGCCCTCTTTGGCATTTGACTAACCTTTTTTAGGTTCTGGATTCTAGGTTTTAGGTTCAGTCCCCCCCCCCTTTTGTCCCAGTGTCTAGCATGATGACATCACTTACAGGTGACGTCCTTGCAGCGCATGCAAATGTCCCAGACCAGGAGCTTGTCCCCCTGCTGCAACAAGGTAAGAGACCTGGCAACCCTACTTTTGTTTGTTTGTTTGCTTGTTCAATATTGTACAGTGTTCTGGATTCTGTCTGCTGGAAGTCACTGTCATGGAAGCACAAGCATTCGCCTCTAAATTGGAGATGGAATAAAGAACAAAATAAAAATCCTAACGAAAGCCAATTCTGCTGGTTGTTATTGTTAAATTTTTCTTGCATAAACAAAGGAATATTAAATGCCATTACCTTTGAGAACAGAAATGTGCTGTCGGCTCTCCCCATCTGCAGGATAGTTCCTAAATTCAATATCTTCTCCATCTTTTAATTCAACCTTATCATAACCATACCAGCCAAGAAGCTCATTCATGGTGTTTTCAGCAAAGTTCTGAAAGAGAAGAATTGCCTACTTATTTATGCAATCAATAATCATTTGGACCTAAGAAATGCATAAATCGAAATCTATTTGCACTGTACCGTGAAATCCCAGGTTTGTCCCACCTCCTCTACACTAATGTTCATTTATCAAGCCACGTACATAGAATGCAATGCATTTAAATCTTTGAATGACACATGTAATTATGACAGACCTTTGCAAATTTGTAATTTAAAGAAAAATATGAGCAGAAAGTGAGCTATTTATCTTTTTTTTGCACATGAATTGGGAGCCAGTGATATTTTAGCACATATTTCCCCACAAACCTTTCTATCCTGTGCTATCATAAAATACCATACAATCTAGAAAGCAATAGAAGAACAACGATGTTTCTCAGACACTAGTCAGTCAATTTCACTATTATACAGCTATTCAAATCTGTACAGACTACTGTACAAATACCAAAGAGAGATATAGTCTAGGAGAAATAAAATAATTACACAGATATTTGTAGAAACCCAGCACTGCTTTTAATATTTCCCATACTCAAATATTGTACTTACTGATAATTTTTAGAAATCTCTATACTAGCCAGTAGCCAGAGTGGGGGTCACCATACTCTCTATCTGAACTACAGATGATAGTAATGCTGAATCAGCTTGTCTTGTGCTCAAAAGTGTTTCTTTTAGAAGCACACCAAGAAAAAGGAGAGTGTATTTTATTCCTAAGACTGATTTTTAAGGCCTCATTGACCTTTGTCACTACTAGTGTGGGAACATTTCCACGCCATTAGATCCCATGCTACTCATGGTAAACATCCTGAAATAGGAACCATATAAACAGGGGACATCCATGGTTGCCTCGCTGGGACTTAGGGCTAGAAGGAAGTAGACATGATGCAGTCTGGGTCGATTCACATGTTATAAAGTCCATGTGGTAGACACATGCAAGACAGGATTGGCCCACCCTGTTGTCCAGCCATCGCCCTGCCTGAGCTGGAAGAGGTGTTTTGTGGAGTTTATTATTTGTTTATATATATCTCAAGTATGCCCCCCGTCTACAGACACCAGGGTCACATTTTCCCAGAACAGATTTTTCTGCGGACTTGAGGCCAGTGGTATTGCAGCCTGCAAATCACATTCGGCCTGCTGGCAGCTGCACTGGGCATGAGCCACCCTGAGCCCAGTGGTGGTGACGCTGCCCTGGAACCCCTCTGGACTCGGTGGCTTTGCAGCCTGGGAGCCAGTTTGGGCCTGGCAAGGAAGTGGGGGGAGAATCCCTCCCCTGCAATTCTCATGGGCCCAGCCACAGCAGAGGATGCTGGCAGCCACTGTGGGCCTGAGACTGGGAGAAGATATTGGCAGTAGGGATGTGCATTTCGGGATCCCGAGCCGAAAAAAAGCTGAAAATAACATTTTTCGGCTTTTTTCGGCTTTCGGGATCCCGAAATAGCCTTCTATGCGCTTCTCCGGAAGCCGAAAAATCCCGAAAAAATTCGGGTTTCTTCGGCAATGCCGGAAAATGCCGAAAAATGGCTTCTTTGCCCTTTAAACATTAAAGGCCGGCCGGGAAACCCCGTTTTCCCGCCGTT